TACCCCTTATGAGAATCTCAAGATGCCAGACAAGAGCCACCCTAAGAGTGTGTAGGGCCATGAGAGGATAGCTCTTAAAAGGAATCTTGGGCAGGAATAAGAAGGATGATCTTAATCAGTGAGGCTCAGACCTTGATTTTCATTGACTGCCCTGAAATTTCCTCTTACTCTCTTAGGATTGATCTTGTCTTAGCTTGTTCTCTGCCAGATACTCACCTGTCATTCACAGTTGTCATGGTGCCATGCTGCTCACTGCTTCAAAAAGTTTGGTCTCATAAATATAGTGTAGGAAGAAAAGTTTCCTTTTTTCCTATATATTTCATATATTTTGTATGTGTGATTAAAATATAGTTCCAGATGTATTTAAAATAAAAGTTGAAGTAAAACATTTTGATATAACAAGTGCCTGAATAAGCAATTCCAGCAACTCCAAGTGATTTCTTATATAAATAATTCAAACTATAGTTCAAAGTTTTTGAAAAAGTAGTATTTGATAAAGTAATAGGTGCTGAAGATAATTCACTGTATCAAAAGAGGTTGTATTTATTCCAGCTAGAGGGGAAGAGCACTAACGACATACCGTGCTTTTAGGGCTGCAAAAAAATTCAATATTTTTCCTAATAACTGAATATTCATTTGAAATATAGTTTTTACACCTTTAAAATTATACATGTAGTTACTTCCGCTTCTGGCACAATGGTAGAAACTTCATATCCGGGGGAAAAGAAGGCCCAATGAAGAGCAGTTATTAGTGTTGGATAAAATAAAACCACAAACATCTCGATTTATGAAATGTAACAATAATCCCCAGGATCAAAAAAAAAATGGAGCTGAAAGCCATCATAGTAAGCTCAGATTGGTGACACAGCATCTGTAGGGTGTTTGCCAGTACTAATAATCATAGCACCTTAATGGTGTCATGGTTTTCTGTGTCAACCTTTGTGTCTGGGTTGTAGGGTAAAGCAGATTCACATCCACATAATTTTGGGGCCCTATGAAGGCTATGCTCACAATCATACCAGAAACAATCTACCTTTGATAAATGCTGGTGCTCAGGGCATTTACCTGTTTTGAAACCACTGCTGAGTGTAGGGAAAGCATTCTCCTTATGTAACCACAATCCTTTCCTCACTGTGTGTACAGTTCAAACTTAAAATACTTGCCTGACCAGAAAATCCCAAGGCAAGAAATAAATTTAAGGTGGTCTTTGATTGATAACGTCCCGGGAGTGCCTGGCAAAAGCAAACACAAATGCAGTCTGGAGCGACTTAGCCTCAATCCAGGGGTCACAGAGTTTGAACAGATAAAGACCACCAAACACAAGCACGCAATTTCAAACTCCAGGATCACACAAGGAAGTAAGAACTACGAGCAGGAGGCAGAAGAAACCACAAATAACAGAACTAGACTTCCCTAAAATTTAAGATAATGATTCATTCAGATAAAGAAAATTATGTAAATGCCTGGAATGTTTTTAAATAGCCATATATAACATAAGTAAAACAATGAGATTGTATCAGAAAGGAAATGCAATTGGAAGAAAAGCAGATAAAACATCTAGAAAAAAAATATACGATGGCAAAACTGAAAAGCTCAAATGGTCCTATTAAATAGCAAGTTATTAACAACTGAAAAAAGAATTGATCAACTGATTCTAATGAAATTATAGAAAGGACCAAACCAAGACATGGAAATGGTAAAGATGGGTTCAGAGATTTAAAACACAAGAATGAATCTGTTACTTGTCTAATTGGATTTGTAAATTTCTTGCAACAGCAAACGAGGAACACAGTCATTTTTAATTAAATAAAAATAGTTTACCACCAGTGGATTCTTGGGAAATCATATATGAGAAAGCAGGAAAAGTAATTATTAAATGTGTGTAAAACTAAACCATACCAATTAAATACAAAAGTAATGATTCCATATTGAGCATTATAATGGACTGAATGCATTTTCCCCAAATTCATATTTTGAAATCCTAACCACCAATGTAATAGTACTATGGGAATGTCTAGGATGCTTTCATATAGCCAAACATAATACAAGTGGAAAAAGAAGATGTGATGAGGTCATGAGGATGGAGCCCTATGATGAGATTAGTGCAGTAGGTGCTGGAGAGTCCAGAGCTCTTTCTTTCCACCATCTGAGAAGGAGCTGTCTGCAAACCCTGCCATCCCTCAAAAAAGGGTTGCTCACCAGAACTTGACCATACTGGCAACCTGATCTTGGATTTTCAGCCTTTAGAAATTCAAGAAATAAGTTTCTATTGATAATAGGCCACCCAATCTATAGTATAGTCTTTTGTTCTAGGAGCCTGAGCTAAGACCCACATTAAAAGCAAAGAGAGAGAATAAATAAAATAATGCCATGCTCTATCATATAGGATAGGAATGTTCTATAGTATATGAATTTTTCAGTATGAGAGGAAACTCAAATTTAAACAAACATGATAAAAAATTTAAGGATATTAACTCAGGATAAAAATGGAATTCATAATTTCTAAAATATCAGAAAGTAATCTAAAACATGAAAGTATATGGGAAAAGACTTTCAAAATAAGTAGGACGAAAACAGTGCAAAAAATAAATGTTAGAAATAGGTAGTAATACCAGATATCATAAATGTAGAGAGATAAAACTTGCCTTCTAAAAACATCATCTTTGGGTCACAAAAATCTAGATTTAAAAAATCTACTTGTATGTTGTTTGTGAGAACCCCTTCTTATACACAGGATATAAACTGTAAGAAAAATATGACTATATCAGCAAATACTAAATTTATAAATCTTTTATAAATGTGCTACAACTACTTGAGTTTTAAGATTAAAAAGGATTATTATAGATAAAAAGTTCACTTCAAAGTGATGAAAAATCCTGTTTTCCAAGGAAATGAAACAGATAGCCCTCAACTTACGATGGTTTGACATTACAGCAGTTCATTCAATAGAAATTGTGCTTTAAATTTTGGATTTTGATCTCTTTCAGTGTAAGGATGCATAGTAGGTAGGAACTTCTCTCAGCGTGGCACAGTAGCAGTGAGCAGCAGGTCTCAAGAGAAAAGAGTCTTTCACATAATCATAGGGTAAACAGCTGACACTCCACAGTGCTGTGTTGTGGAGCTCTGATGTTTGATAGCTTAGGTATGTTAGATGCCTTTTGACTTAGGAAACTCACAACTTTATGCAGAAATAGCTCTCCGGTAAGTTGTGGAGCCCCTGTATCCTGTAAGGTTGAGTGACAGAATGATAAGGATGGGTATTGGTGTTTACAGTGGTCTGTTAACTTTACGGAGTTATTTGACCTTTGTGAGAAATATTAGAGATGCAAACTCCTGTTTCATCCCTTAGAAAATTGCCCTGCCTTGTATTCACTGGTATATGTACAAGATGATTGACAGCAATGATATTTGTAGGAGGAAAAATTGGGGAATACTTAAATGTCCATCACTGGTATGCCCATTCTGCTACATCCATTGAATGTAATACTGAACAGCATTAAAAGTGAGTGAACATCCAGGCGTGGTGGCACATGCTGTAATCCCAGCACTTGGGTGGCTGAGGCAGAAGGATCATTGGGATCAAGACCAGGCTGAGCTACAAAGTGAGCTCAAGGCCAGCCTGAACTGCATAGCGAGACCCTGTCTCAAAAAGACCAAAAAAAAAAAAAAAAGTGAATGAACAGGAGCAGCTGTATGTTTCACAAAATTAATGTGAGGACTAAAAGCTCATAAAGATAATGCTGATCAAAAATGATATTTCAAAATACACAAAAAATACCCCATGATATTCTTTCTGTACTTTTAAAAGGCAAAATAATACTATTATCTCACTTAGGATCCATCATACATATGTGGTCAAAAAATAATAAAGCATAGAAAAAGGCAAGAGAATGGTAAACTGCACATTCAGGCAGAGAGCTCAACCCTGCAGAGGTGGGAAGGTATGCAGTGAGGGAGTCAGAGGAACCTACAGGTGCCCTGTCCTGGCATTGTGGTGTTTTTCAGCTAGCTGGTGGGCACATGCATGTCTGTTTTGTTACTTCCATACCGTTTATAAGGTCTGAAAAAAATAGTACTAAGAAGAAAATATAAATGTATGTCAGGAGATTAAAATTTACTTATACTACCTCAATCTAAAAAAATGTTTTACAACAATATTTTCAAAGATATTTATGAGAAAAAAATTGTTATGTTTCTTAACCCCTATACAAATCTTTTTACTGATGTGCTAAGTAGTAACTTTTCAACTATTTAAATAGAACGATGTCAGTCAATTTATTTCACAATTCATTACAGGCCAGAATGGTGGTGATATGGTTGAATTCCCAGTATCAAAGATGGCTACTTTTTCTAACCCTTTTCAGAGGTATCATTTCCCTAAGAGTCCAAACAACAGATTTTTAAAAAGCATCATTTTCAAAAAGTAATTTTTATTTTAAAAAGAATATGTTACCAGGAAAATTGTCTTTAGTCATAGAAATTGAAATATATAAATCAGAGTTGAACTGTAGCTTTTTAAAACTTACCTCGAAATTTGTTGAAATTTTAGTTCTGAAATTTTAATTTCCAGGAACCTCCCTGACATTGTAAATAATTACAACTATTTTGATGAATCCTCAGGCTTTCTTGGTTCAGGATGCCCTCGGTATCCCAGTAAGTTTTTATAGTAAGCTGAAACCAGAAAAATGGCTGACAGTTCACGGTAAGTAGTTAGATTACAACAACCACCCAAAGACCAGCTTTACAAAGATATGATGCCTGGAACCATACGTAGGGAAATTCCATGTTGCCATTGGGAACAACCTTGAGTTAGTTTTCAGTTTCCAAATGTTGATGATTGCTATTTCCCTTGAAAATTTAAGGTAGCTCGTTACCCTTGCGATTTTGCTGCATCATCCTGCAGATGTAGGTAAACACCCTCCAGCCTGACACCCACCCAACACAGGGAGGGCTCTGCACCCACTCATTCACTCTCACCAATCTCTTCTCCCTGACTGCAGGAGAAGCCATACAAGTGCTCGGAGTGCAGCAAAGCCTTCAGCCAGAAGCGGGGCCTGGATGAGCACAAGAGGACCCACACTGGAGAAAAGCCTTTCCAGTGCGATGTGAGTTTGAATTCTCTTTTCTTTCCTTACTATCTTGCAGTAACAGGGGGGAGGGCGTGTGTGTGTGTGTGTGTGTGTGTGTGTGTGTGTGTATGTGTGTATACACTCACACAGCCATGTGTGTGTTTGGTTTGTAGCATATCCAGTCTGTGCCTGTTAATATCTCACACTGTTTATAGCTTTTGATTGCATAATCCATGTAATCAGTTTATAGTTGTTTTATTCATCATGGTTTACTGGCAGCAAATAAAATCTGATTTTTTTTAAACACGCTGGCACCATTTCAGTGTCATTGAGTTGTTCTTCCAAGGTGTAAATTCACATGTTTTGAGGCAGCTTTCGTGTGTCTGCCCACGTCTTTGACAGTTTAATGACAGTTAAACCAAAGTTTTGGTTTGTCACAGATATTATTTACTTTGTTAAATCCAAACAGTGAATTTCTAAAATACATATAAATTCCTTCATGTTAAATAATGCTGCATTGAGATTTTCTGCTTATGACTTTTGAAAAGAAATGGAATGATAAGTGTTTACATTATTTTTAAAAAGAAAAAGTACTACTGTCCTCAGTAAATATAATCTGAGCTTTGATTAATTTAGGAGAAATTCTCAGCCAGTGGTGTCAGTATTCTTTTGGGAGAGGTTGACAATTGACAAAAAATTGACACAGGTATTTGGGAAGGCACTAGGATACTTATTTTTGACACATTAATATCAAAGTGAGTACTAATGTAGGTCAGTGTAAGAAGAATCATTACAGTTGTCATGTGAAACAGCACCGCACAGACTCTGTACCTGTTGAGAGATAGTCAAGAATATAATCCCATGAGTGGGTCCCAGTGGACAAAGTATGAGGTAAGCAGTCCCTGTAAAAGGAAGCTCACAGACACCAGACATTTTCCTTGTCTTTCCATGAAACTTGGCTGGTGAGGTTAAGACACCAGTGCACTCCCAGTGGGCCTGCTCGTAAAAATATATTTATTAACTGTGCACCTAAAGGGAAAATGTATATCTATGTACACACAAGGTAGCTAAGATAATCGTACTACTAATTTCTATTAGTTCACTGAAAGGAGCAATTAGTGCTTATATTGTTTGAGCAATTTGCATGCCTATATCTGATAATCTGAGCAACTACTTTGAAGATAACAATATGCAGTATAATAACTATTGTTAATGTCCTATCATCTTGTTTGAAAATTCTGTATCATTTTTTATTGTTTTTTATTCTCCTCAAAATAAAAAAATGCATTGCATTAAGAGACAAAAAAAGACCCACAGTCTAAAGAAATGTGCACATGTTGAGCTCTGTTCTCATATGGACTATAGTCTCAACTTTTATTTATTTATTTATTTATTTATTTATTTGGTTTTTCTCCGGTACCGGGAACCGAACTCATGACCTTGCACTTGCCAGGCAGGCGCTTTGCCACTGAGCTAAATCCCCAGCCCCTGTCTCAACTTAATAATTTCAGTTAGTTTAAGTAAGTGCTGTCCTTATTGGAAGCTTTTTTCATAAAGACAGAAACTATTTCAAGGACTTAATTCTATATCTACGTATATAACCAATGTGGACCTTAAGTATTAATATTATTACTATTACTAATTACCATTAACAGTGTAGGGAAGGGACATCTTCATACCATCACACTCAGTACTTCTTTTATCTATCAGGAGTACTTCTGTTGAAAAATATTTCATTGAATATTTCCCTAGGTAAATCCAATGGGGATGTTCTTAAGCTATCATATTACAAGCATGCTTTTTTTCTGTCTACCATACTCTCATTTACTTCTATGAGCTCAGAACTCTCCAGTCATCCTCTGTAGCCCAGACTGGTATATGCGGTAAAGATTCATATTTCTGAGTGCCCCATAAACTTCCCTGCAATGCATCCTGCTCAAGAGAGCACTGGCTGTCATTGTTTTGAAATCTTGTCTTCGTCACCTCCTCATTCCTAATCTAGTCACCTGACTTCCAATCCCTCCCTACCAGCGGCCACTCAGACCCATCCCTTTCTCTCAGTTTTCATGGCTGTTCACTGTACATATCTCAGACCCTCACTCTGTCTTATGTATATGATTTCCTGCATCTGTGTTCTCTGTCTTGAGTACCCTGCCAAGGTGATATGTTTGGGTGAAAATTATATCACAAAATGAATCATTTACAAATGAAGAGTTCAGTGTCATTTTGTACACTGAGTGCAATACAGTCCCCACATTTTTTTGTGTGTGAAATATTTCTGTTGAACCAAAATGAAACGCTACACTCATTAAACAGTTGATCTCCATTCCCCTAGACCCTGGCAGCTACCAACCTACTTTCATTTTATAGACCTACCTATTCTGGATATAACTGAATTATACAATATGTGAACTTTGTAATTGACATTTTATTTAGTTTATTGTACTCACATTTAATATTTATTATAGCAAGTACCATAAGCAGTTTTTCATGATAGCTGGATGATATTGCTTTGTATTTTATACAACAATTTGTTTATTCACTCATCCACCCATAGACACTTCGGTGGTTTCTACCTCTTGATTGTCATGGGTAGTGCTGTGATAAACACGGGTGCACCAGAATATGTGTGAGTACTGTTTTCAGTTCTTTGGAATCTATATCTACACATGAAATTGCTGAGTTGTATGTAGACACTGTGTTTATACTGTTTACCACAGGAGCCAAACCATTTTATATTTCCACTGACAATACATCAGAATTTCAGTTTCTGCACATCCTTGCCAACATTTTTTCCACTTTGTTTGTTTACTTATAACTATCTCATTGGGGTTGGGTATCTCATTATGGGTTTCAGTTGTTGTTCAAGACCAATGATATTGTGCATTTTTCCCGTGCTTCCTGTCCATTTGTACGTCCTGTCTGAAGAAATATCAATCAAGTCCTTGCATGTTTTAAAATTGTGTTGTCTTGCCACCATGCCTGTCCTAGCACTAATTTAATGGTACTACGAATACCTCTCCTCCACTGCAGACTCCACAGGGTGAAGCAGTGTAATTTACCATTGTTTTCTTAGCTGAAATGACAGCCACATTGTATGTAGTATCTGCTAGCTGAAGATGCTTGCATAAAATTCTAATTCCTGTTTATCAAGGTATTTTCTGTTAAATATTTTGTTTCATTTACACCTTAAAACAATTATTCCGTCTTCAAACTAGTGTAGTAGAGTAAAAATTTTTCCATTCTTTGGCATGTGGATTAATGTTAAGTCAGAGTAAGGGAAAGAGTTGTCTAAGAATCTCAAATGGAAAGAAAGAAAAAGAAATATCGTTGTTTCAATGCTTAAATTTTTTCTTACTTTTCCCTATTTTTAAAATGACTGTAAATGCCTTTGCATGTGACTGATTTATCTGGAGCATCATTTGGAATCCTTTAATGACTACACTTAAGCTCATGATCATAAAACTTGTAATTCCTAGGCAGTCAGCTTCTCAGCTGTGACATAAAGTACTGTACTCTACTGTACTGGTATTTAATCCCCCGTTCTGGCTTTCACCCAACAGTCTGTTGGATTGTTCTCATCCTCTGTGCAGAGCTTCTAGGACTTCCTGAATTTGCAACCGTTATCACTGGATTCAGCATCTTGTTCAACTTCCTCTCCATCGTCTCTAGCTTGCTCTTGCTGCAATTTCCACGGTGATTGTATAAATGGACTTGTGCTTCACATCCCTCCCACCACACTGGGAAGCTGAGCTAAGAACTTCCTTTGTACCTTCAAAATCATTTTTGGTTTTTAAAATGGTGTTATCCCGATGAATGGGAATTTTAAGATGACCTCACATGTCTGCTTGAAGTGAAAGTTTTTAGTAACAGTTGGCCCTGCAGAGGTGGTGTAGAATCTGAACCCAGACTGTCTGGGTTTAAATCTTGGAAATCATTTCCGAGTTCTGTGAATTTGGAAAATCTGGGTCACCTCCAACATCTCCATTTCTTTTATAAAATGGGAATAATAGTACTAAGATCTATTTTAAAAGGTTGGCCTGTGTGCTTTTGGGTTATAAAAATTTTGCTTTTTAACACCAGAAAAATGAAGAGATAAAAATAAAACAAATGAAGACAAATAAAACAATCTCCAGTTCTTCAACTGATCTCAAGTAATATTTATGTTAATCTGTTGATGTTTCCCTCACCTACTTATTTCTGCAATTTTTTATCCTCTGTAGTTCAATATTGTAGAATAAATTGTAGTAATCTTGTTATTATTTCCTTCCCTTTACATTTTCTCTCCCCTTTAAATATTTTTCAAAGTATAAACTTTTTAACAGCTGAAAAGTATTTCTTCAGCTGGTTATATAAAAATGAGTATACCTATTAACTTTGGGCAACTAAATCATTTGTAGTGTTTCAACTTTATAAATAATTCTCTGAAAGCATCCTGTATATAAATATTTCATAAGAGATGTTTGTATAAGTGGCACTCCTGGTTCTTTAAAGGATGCTTTCTCTTTGTCTATTCAAGATGTTTCTAAGGAAGCATGAATCAGTACCAGTTCTACCCTACCAGCATCATTTTATACACTTTTATCCACATTCTAACCCCCACATTTTAAATTGTTTGTGTATGTGTGTATGTTACTTTTTGAAAATGTACACCTTAAGTACAGTATGTGTTTGCATCTTGCTTTTTTTCCTAGTTTCAAAGTCTTGTCTTTTAATAAGGATAGTTAATATTTTATGTCAGTTATCATAACATATTTTATAGTCATAATTTAGTAGTTCTTTCCTCTGATTTTAAAGCAACTTGGCTTTGTTGTTCACTGACTTTAAAAGCATGCACTCTGTTTCTAGTTATAATTACCAGTCTTATACTTCGGACCTGTTCCCAAAGAAAAGTGTCATTTCCTAAGATTAACTGGATAAGTGGTGTTTCCTCTGGGAAATTATCCTGTTTGCTTGCACAACACATGGACATTCTAGGGCACCTCCGTTCTTTAGAATAGCTGCTTTCCTTCAGCTCACCCATGTGGTGGCTTTTGACTTTCTTATCAGTATCACTCTATGCTTTCCAATCTGCTTATGATACACTTTTGTGGAAAAGATGAAAGAGAAAAATTATTCACTCACATTTACCAATCTCACCAGTTTACATGGATTGTTTTATTCTGTCTTACAGTCCTGTGAGGTAATCACCATTATTGTCATTTTACAGGTGAGGGAAGTGAAGTGAAAAGGATAATTTGTTTTGTTTTAACTTCCTTAATAAGCAATAGTCAGAATTCAAACCCAAGTTGGTTCTTCAACAAATAATTTAGTAGAATGCACTCAAGAGTAAAACTTAACAGAGATCTATACCCTCGTGGAGCTAAGACTGCAGTGAGTAGAAACATAATAATAAAGTAAATAAACCAAGTATGCTGTGGGTCAGGTGACAGTGTTTTGTAAAAAATAAATTTGATCGACAAAAAGGTGTCCAGAGAGTATGGCATGCTTCAGTTTTAAACTGGGATGGTAAGATGGGCTTCCTTGGAAAGTGATCTCACTGAAAGCTTATATTCTTTCTGCCACGCTATGCTGATACTTATATGAGTAAGCTGAAATATATTATTATTGGATTAGTCCCCCCTCTTATACAGCTAGGACCTCATGCTTTGGAGTTTCTTATTCCTGTAAATGCAAGTTCTTCTTCCTCCAAAAAGAAAGCACAGTTTTTATTTGCCATGCTGTTTTCACAAGCCTCACCTCATTCAGAACTCCAGCTTTCTTTACAGTACTTTTACAAGCAATTTCCGTTCTCATTTTATTCATTATGCTTGCCATGGTGTTTTCACATTAGTTAAATGTGCCTTATTTTAAAATGGATGTGCTTTTGAAGATTTTTATGTAAATGGAATTTTTGTGAATAACATCAAGCTTTGAATTTCATTTCTTTTTATAACGTAAGTAATCATGCCATACATGTTCTGTGTTAACTTACTGTTTTTAATTATCAGGTAGTATGTTAAGCCAGGTGGCAATGTGGGAGAGCTTATATGAAATAAACTTGTTACATTCCTTAGTTAAACAAAGCATGAAACAAAAAATGGAACAGTGGGTAATAAATGCCCCCTTACTGTGCTTGAAGCAACATTCACCATGGACACCACAATGTGAAGGGATCACTGGTGAGAATGTCTCATGCCATTTATGCCACAGAGAGAAATGTCATCTAGACCCTGAAGCATTTCACTTAACAGGTTTACCATGCATTGCACACTTCATCAATCACGTGGAAGGTATTATTTGCAGGAAGCTGCTCCTCTAGAGATGCTGTAGGGAAGGGAGGCTGATTGCAGTGCAAGGGCTACAATTAAATGCAAAAAGTAACTTGGAAATTTAATTAACTTCTTCACCCATTCTTACGGATGTTAGATTTCATTTAATCCAAGAACAATTGTTTTTCTTAGACCTTTTAATGCATACATGACAGCAGAACTTTTAAATAATGTCTATTGTACAAATGATAAGTTGGTGTAACTTTAGGCTTTTCCGTGTAATGTGATTGGTATGTTTGGATCTTTTCTAGGTTTGCGACTTGGCTTTTAGCCTAAAGAAAATGCTGATCCGACACAAGATGACGCATAATCCCAATCGTCCGCTGGCAGAATGCCAGTTTTGCCATAAGAAGTTTACAAGGAATGACTACCTCAAAGTGCACATGGACAATATCCACGGTGTAGCTGACAGCTAATGGTAGCTGTAAAGGACTCAAACCATTCACATGGGCTACTAATATGAATCCCAGCTTTTTCTCACCAGATCAACATAATAGAAATAGCCAAAAGTAACTTACTGATGTCACGTTCCTATTTGCACACCATTGGCATCTATAATGCACATGTTAAAGAAAGGCAGAGAAAGAAAGAGAAAGCCTTACTTTTACCAAGAAATAACATAAACAGAAAAAAGTCTGTAGCCTTGCAAAATACGATGTGTGTTCTGTCTGATAAAGTGGAGAAAGAAGCCACGGCTCTCTTGACTGTCTGCCTGTAATGAAGTTTATTGACATATTTCCCCACCAGGCCTTACTTTATTGTTATTTTCGTACATGTGTATATCTGTGTGTATGTGTATGCAACACTGTCAAGTACTGACTATTGCAGCTGGTTATTGCTAACTTAAGTAGTAGTTAAAGTATCCAAATACTTCTTTGCAAATAAGAGTAAGAGTAAACATTTTCATGGTCTCAAGCATAATAGCGTGATAAATACTTGCTATTCTATGCAACAGACCAAGAGTTTCACTTATTTAATAGTTCCATACAACAAATGAGTTTAAAATAGAGATATTTGAGAATTAAAGCATCTATTAAAATATTCTTCATGTTAGAGAATTTTCAGAAATCATTATTTTACTCATCATTCCCATACGGATATTCACGATCTAGAATACTTTTGTAAGCTCTGTACAAGAATAGCTGTAACATTTAAATATTCATCAAGCTGTCCCTCTTGAGTTTATACAGTTCTCTTTAGAAATGAACGATCTACCAATATGCAGAGCTAAAAACAGAAACAAAAGGATCTCCACATTTGCTGGCTGCAAGTGGCAGGACAATAATGTAGCATTACCTCATTAGTTGTGATGAGCAGAACCTTTTCCCTCTCGTTCCATAAAAGTGTACAGTAGATGTCTTGTAAATGTAATAGAATCCTCAGAACATTAACGTTCCATTTTGCAGAAAGATATTTTCCAGAATCATGGCAGTTATTGATTCAGAAACAGTTTTGAATTGTCCTCAATCATGCCACATAATTAGGAACCAGTACAAAAAATAAAATCCGGCAATTGTTACGATTGAAATTGTCATTAATCTGTAAGGAAAATGAGAATAAGAGCATAATTTCTTCCTTTAGATTATATTTCAGTACAATACTTGACAACAATATACAATGAACAGCTTACTTAGGGAGATGATACAATGCGATCTTATAGTGTTGTCAAAATAATCTAGAGTTGCAATGGTGAACCTTTTAGAGCTTTCAATGATACAAATAGCCTGTTACAGCACCTAGGGGAATCCAAAAGCCAGAAAAAGTTAAGATAAAATACAAATCATGAACCACCTAATTGGAACTTGCTGAAAAGAGAGGAACTGCAGTTTTAAGGAACATATTTATTTATGACTGTTTAAGGACAACAGTTATCTGAAAACACAATTCTTTGACCTTATGAACCTCATTTTAGGTTATGTGGATGCCCAGCTTCAGTCTCAAAAGAAACACAAAGGTTTGATATAGATATATTTAAAGCCTGTAAAACTTCTAAATTTGAAACTCATCAGAGATAACTTTTAAAAATATAAATCCTGAAATTATAATTTAGAAGATATATAAGTAAGGTTATATATAGTATTTTGTATCTGATATTAGAGACTGCATTGTATAAAAATAAATTTCAGTCCTGTTTTGCACTATTTGTTTCAACAATCTGTTTTTAGACCAAAGTATCTTCAGTTTATCATGATAGTGTTTCTGGTATCCTTTGAGTATACAAGGACAGCTGTGAAATATGGCAGCATTTATTATTTAAGTGTACCTGCATATTCCTTTGGATGCTGTCCTCTCTATATGGGTTGCTTTGTGCCCTAGTTATGTGTAAAGTGTTCAACTTTAAAGGAGGAAAAGTACCAATCTTGGATAATCTCAGTGAGAGTCATAATTCTTGGGCTGCTGGGAATTTCCCTTAGAACTGTACAATTAATCACCATGCTGCTTCAGAGTAAATTGACCAAGGTAAAATGTAGGGTCTTACCCTGCTGTGGGCTTATGGACAGGGAAAACCTTCAAAGAAGGGTAAAGGGCTACTACAGCACCATCCTCCTCAAAAGACTAAAGAAGCCAAAGCAAGTCCTTAGAATGCAACTTGTATGCTGTCACCTTTTATCCAGAAGATGATCATTTATAAATAGTTACAGGTTTATTAGTCTTTGTGTGCTTTCACTTTTGAGTTGTTTGACAGCAACAGAAGAAAATGTTTTCAGGCTTGATTGACAAATCAGACACTTAATCATAGACGAGTATATAGACAAACTAGAGTGCAGGTACCCACTTGCGAAGGTGGTTTTTCTCTTTCCTGCTGTGTAACATTTTAGCTCAGGTACTTTCTCTGGAAAAGGCCAAACTCGACTCCCATGAAGTCGTAGCTAAATACTTTTATGAAGCATTCAATAGTGTGCATAGGTTTATATATCCTTTTTATAATTGCTATATTTTTCTTTTAGTATTTAAGATATTTGCATATCTTGGATTTCTTATTTCAGAATCACTGACTTTTTTCATTGTTGTTGACTACACAGAAGAACACAAATGTATTTGTTAATGATTCATTCTCGGAGTTCTACAGGGTAGTTAAAAAGCTACTTTGAAGATATGTCTCTGTAAGTGTGTGTGTCTGCCTGCCTGTACTGCCTTTTTATGCAGTGCTTGTCATGCAAGTGCATTTCTTTGCACAAACTCCTTCTGATCTATTGTAGCTGCAACATTGACTGTGAAAAGGGATACACAGGTTCTTAGAGCTTTAGTGTATATATTAGACTTCATATACTATTACTCTTCCACAGCTGAAAGGGAAGCATAGATACTGAAAACAATCCTTTTCTTCCCAAACCTAAGTGTTTCTTCTGCAAACTCATTTTGGGTTGGGAATATATGGAGGTAGGTAGGTAAGAACTAAAGTCTTACCATTAATATTGAGATTTATTTGTATGTATATAAATAGAATACTTGTGACTCTAACAATGCCAATCACTTTTTTATTTTCTTACAGATTTATAATAAATATGTGCAAATTTCTACTAGACTTGGTGTTAGCATTTTATTTTACTATAGAACTGAACTAAGGACTGGGGATTTAGCTCAGCGGCACAGCACCTGCCTGGCAGGTGTGAGGTCGTGAGTTCAATTCCTGGTACTGGAAGACAAACAAACAAACAAAAAAGTAAAACTGAACTAGTACAGTTCTAGCATAAAATCCAAATGAATGCTTTAAAGTTGTTTTTGGTAAAAGAAGAAAATATTATTTTATTACCCCCCAAGCCTCCTGATGTTACGGTTTGTACTTCTAACATTGCTAGATCTGGAAAGTATTAATCATTCTCCTATCTCTGGGACAAAATACCTCACACCTATTACTTAAACTTAAAGGAGGAAAGGTTTATTTTGGCTTATGATTTACAGAGGTTCAGTCTACAGAAAGGCCTGTAGAAGGGGAAAGCTTTCCTGGTAAAGTAAATCTACTCAAGTCTTGGCAATGAGAAGGCAGAGAAATGAGAAAGAGAGCAGTAGCACACCCTTCCAGATCATATTTCCAGTGACTTATCTTTTAACAGCACATTTAGTAATAAATTCATCCTAGATGAATCCACGGATGAGTATAGCACCCCCATGGTCCAGGCCCTTTCCAAACACATGAAATTTGTGGGGATCGTTTTAGATCTAAACTATAACAATCGCTAATATTGAGTCAAGTCAGTTCCATGTCAATAAGAGAGTACTTTCCATGTCCTTCATCTCACTCCTATACATAGCTACAGTAACATGTAAAAAGAAACATCACTAAGAATCAGTTAAGTCAAAGGTTCAGCAGCACCGGTAAGCAAAATTCAGTATTCACAAATACAACTGGAAGTAATAAATGGCTGATATTGATGCTTCTTTAAAAAGATATTTCACTATTTTGTTGTTCCTCTATCCTGTGAGATATCCTTGATACAAGGAACAATCATAATCATCCTGTGTTTCTAAGTAGCTGAGTTAGAAAGGATGCATTCATTTAACTTTGACTTCTCAGAATCAGCAGAGGTCCTAATCCTTTGGAACTTTCTCAGCCTTGATGAATTTACACTTAAAACCCTGCTACTATGTCAGGTTGCTGACTTTTTCTATGAAAGAATAAAAAAGTACTATGGAGTGCAACAACTATATCATCCAAAATGGTGCCTTTGATCTGGTGCCCAGGTATCTTTGCTTCCTTTTAAAAATGTTTAACATAGTAATGAAATAAATGTTTATATTTATTTACACAGTGTATACTATTGTTACCTAAAATAAAAAGTCATTAAATATTTTATAGTACATTTAGTTTCTTAATTATGCAGATGTTTAGGCAATTCTAGATTTTATTTCTTGTAGCCGTGCAAACTTGGCATATGACTTGTCCTTAAGAAAATAGCATTTTGTAAATGTCAGTAATTCATATGCTTAACATTGGGACTATTTGAGGGGAATACCAGGAATCAAACTGAGGACCTTGCAATTGCCAGGCAGGTGCTTATATCACTGAGCTATATTCTCAGCCCTACACTGGGACTATTTAACCTTGATCTTAACCAGTGAAACAGTTCATATGAATATTGCTCTCTTAAAAACTGTATACTTAGCATAAATTAATTTAAAAATTTTTAAAACTATCCATTTGCTTCTTAGAAAGAGTTATTAAATCAAAAATCTCAGCTCACAGTGGATACTTGAACCACTGCATTACTTCACCTTTTGATGTTTCGTCTTCTAAAGAGTACCTAATAATGATTTTTTTCTTTAATTTTTCTATTATCTTTTACTTACTATTGGATACCATGTTTTTGCTTTGTTCTACTGTGATTATTTGAAAAAATTAGACGTGTTTTGGATAAACAAATAATGTTAAAATTTCTCACTTTTCATCCTTTCTGGTAACACTGAACTGAATGCTTTTCACTCTGTGATAAGTTTTTCCTACCTTTCATAGTCTCGTGTGACATTTCAATGTCTGAGTAGGCTTATATTAGAGTCTATATTTAAAAAGACATATAGAACATATTTTAATATATGAAGTTCATCATCACCATGTGTTAACTTGATAAAAGCCTGGCATTATAGGCATAATCCAAGACCCTCTTCCTTTGTATACACCTATGTGCAAGAAGGTAGCTGCAGGTATACAACTGAAAGCAAAAGAGATTCTTTAAAAAGGATTCTAGGGGCTTTGAGATCAAGGGCACTGTACATTACTAACTGTTGAAAGCTGAGTAAATCTAATACTAAACTATTGAACAGATGTGCTGCCTATTTATTTGTCAATATTTGATTAAAAAACAGCTTGTAAAAATAGGAAGTACAGTAGTGAAATATAGAAAATTCTCTCTGTACCTTACTTTCTATGTTTGCAACTCATTTTCTATCTGGCAAATATAGTACACGGCTCTTTTCAGAAAGTAAAACAGTGTCAAGTGTAATTGTCAGTATCACTTTCAGCCTTTCCTGCTCTTGAACCTGGTGTTCATTTCTAGTGTAGTTTCAACTGTTGGTTGACTTTGGTGTAGTCTCCAATTTTTCCATTATCTGTGCTTTGAGAGTTTGCATTGGTTTTCTTCCTGTAGTCAAATTATGATATGCAGGAGATTCAGTTAATCCTTCCTTCAGTGACTATAAAATATGAAATAGGAAGAAAATATTTTAGTTGATTAGGGCACTCTTTGACTAAGTCTTTGAGTTGAGCAGATTGATTTTATACTAAGAAAAACTGTTTATGCCTTTTCTAGGCTACCAATCTTACCTGTAATTGCCCAAACTCAATACAAAGGATATATATCATTGCTTATGGCAGATCCTGAGAGTTGAGTGTATGGATGGAGCCATTGGAATGAAAAGAGGAACTCAGAATCTAAATCCTACAAGCCAAAACAGTGCCAAGAAAGGACAAAGCTGGAACCATACTTTTTTATTTGGAAATCATATTTAAAAATTAGAATAATAGAAATTGTTACTGGCATAAAAACAAACATGTATAGAAAAGTAGAACTATACATGACCTGTAAATATATTCTCATGTGTATCATGAAATGATCTTCAACAAGGGTACCAAGAATGTACAGTGGGAAGGATAATCTCTTCAACAAGTGATGTTAGGAAAACTAGATGACCATATGGAAAAGAAGGACATGGAATCCTTACCTCACAGCATATAGGACAGTACCATATTATGATTTTATTCTCCATGGTTTCATGTGCCCAAGGTCATCCAAATTAGAAAATATTAAGTGGAAAATTCCACTTAATATTTAAATAAACAATTCAAAAATTTTAAATTACACACTGCTCTGAGTAACATGATGAAACCTGCACCACTCTGCTCCCTTTGCTTAAAATGTGAATCATTCCTTTGTCCAGCATATTCACAGCATATTCACTTTCTGTTCAGTAGTCCTTTAGCAGCCACCTTAGTTGTCGTACCATGGTAGTTTTGCAGTGTTTATGTTCAAGTTACTCTTATTTTACTCAATAATGGTGCAAAGCACGACAGTAATTATATGCCCAAAGAAACAATAAAATCCTTCTATATGTGAAAAGGTGAAAGTTTCAATAACAAAAGAAAAAAATTGTATGCTGACAATGCTAATATCTACAATAAGGAGGGGTTAAGAAATTACCTACATTTTGGCCATAGTATATACAATATCTGCTATTTTGCATAATTTTAGACATCCACTAGGGATCTAAGAAAATATTCTCTTGAGATGGAATTGCTGTGTAAAAAATTTCATTAAAAATGAATTAAACACCTAAATATAAATGTGCAACTAAAACTAGAAGAAAACATGGAGGAGAAACAGTATGACATTGAATTTAATTATGATTTCTTCAAAATGACAAAAAAAAGTAGAACTCTCTTTTAGGTTGTGGATGTTAGATTTTTGTTCCTAAAATTAGAAAGTTGGTTAATACAGAAAAATGTTGCCAAAGAAATGAGGTTGTTATTGTGACTATAGCTGACCATATAGTTCAGAAGGCTTTTGAGTGGTCCATAGTTAGAGTATGAAAAAGTTTGGAGATGTGAACTAGAGAAACCCAGGAATGCTGTAAGTACAGCCTAGTGGATCATTCCTGTTAGAGTTCAGAAAACCACAAAGCTGATAGGACTGCAAACAATAAAGACCATGCTTAGGAAGATTTTAAATGGAGATTGGACTAGTGCTCCTGTATCTTTTATTCTTACAAAGAACTTGTTTAAATTTTGGCCATGACCTGAAACTTGTGGAAGGCTGAGTTCCAGGGCTATAGACTAATTGATTGGGAGAGGCTATTTAAGGCAGCACAATGTTCAGGCTGTGATGTGGGTACTGCTGGCTGTTTTTAGCCAAATTTGTGAGAACTGAGAGCAAAAAACAGAGCCAAAAGATTTGGAAATTTCACATTTTTGCCAGAAATCAAGCACATGTAAAGTTCGAGCAAAGAAGATATGGTTGCTGAAGAGATTAATACCACTAAAAAGAAACCAAGGACTTTTGAACCAGGTCAAAAAGAAAGCTTGAACATATCTCAGGAATTAGCACAACCCTGTCCATCATAGACTCAACATTCCAAAAGTGTAAAATTTTCATGTGAGAAGAGAGCCAGTGGGCCCCTTGCTGTAGAGCCACCTTAGGAATTGAGTCACGGTGTGGCACTTGAAAAATCTAATAAAATTTTTTGATTTTATGAAATTCAGCTATATATCTCTTTATTAACCAAATAGTAATATCCAACTGTTCAAAAGAAATCAAATATTATTCACATGTTGAGGGACATTGGTCATATCAAAATGTCATTTTGTGTAACAAAAATTGTCTAATTATTGATTAAATAATTTAATTGCACCAAAACCCATGAATGAAAATGTGTATACATTAAGATAAATGTTTCTTTCCTTTTTAGACACATTGTGGGGGAAAAGCAAGAATGCTTCAAAAGATTAAAAATATATAGTTCATTCATTATGGCTAAATTCTGCTGACACTTTAGCAAAAAGGGGTTAAATAATGTACTACCAGATGAAAAACAAGG